TAATCTGTATTTCCTCAGGGCACTGTCACCTGTGTTTGACTTCAGGCTTTTGAATTGCAAGGAGGTCACATGCATGAGAACCTTTTCAGTCTACCTCACAGAACCCAGTGGGACCGCCTCTGCTTTTACCTGATGTTGTGCTGGAGAGTGAGCCTACCATATAAGATGGGATGACTCCTGGACTTAAATGATCTACTGTAATCCTCTTTATTTTAATCTTTGACACTGGAACACCCTATCTTCTCTTTCGTGTGGCAAGTTGGCCACATGCGCTAATTTACCATTCCATTTCTTGTCATCTGCCTAAACTAATTTGCCCATGTTTCTCATCCTCTTGTATGATGTGTGATTTAGGGCTAATTGGGGACCTCTTCTGTAACACAGTTTCAGTTCTCCAGCTAGCATTGCTTTAGCAAGTCTTGAGGAAGAACTGAAATTTGTGAAGCTATCAGGCATTTTGCTTTTGTAAAACCAGCTTAATTTTGACTGAGAGATTCATTCCATGGGTAGCCTTAGAAAACACATAAATCTTTCATAAGTTTGTTTTCTGCTATTTTTAATGCCCTAAATCTGTCACATACATTGTTGACTCAAAACATGTAGCAAGTACCAAGTAAACAAAGACAGAGAATACTTACGATTCTCATGTAGGCTGCAATAAGGATAGCTAAAGAGTGTATTTGAAGTGTTAGAATTTGGGGGGGCAGGGGAAGATTGGACTTGGCAGGAAAGTTGCTTAGAAGGCATGGTGAAGCATTACTTGTTGAATACACAGGAGACTAGAGAGGCTTTATTAAAATTTCTCAGTTTATGTAAAGGAATGCAATTTCGAAGTCATGTAATGAATTTAGTTTAAAATGTTAAATTGAAAGCAATAATGTGTTCCAAAGGGTTTTGTGTAAAAGATACCAAGTTGGTGTATTAAAGTTATGTGAATTAGGAGAGAATATTGTAGTGAAATTGAAAACATCAGCATTGTCCCCAATTAAGTGAATAGCTGTTACAGTAAACGTGTGTAATATTACTGTTTAAAATTAACTTAAATTTAAGATCAGTCCTTTCAGTGTGACTATAAGCAGTAGATATTTGTCAAAGTAAGCCAACAAAAGTAACCTGATGGAAATGAAGCATTACCCTCTATAATAGATAATAATTCCCAGTAGTACTGCCCTGATTACTCGAGGGAAGATTATCATAGATTTTTCCTTTCTTTTTAGCTTCTAACTCTTAGTGTTGTCTAAGCATCATTAGATATAGTTAATAATTTCTTATACTTTGATCCTACAAGAAAGGGTCTGGTTTCATTCATCCAGTATTTTAATAATTACTGCTACATTTTAAAAACCTCCCAGATAGGTCACCATTATATAAAACATTAAAAGAACACATTCACCAAGCAACAAATACCCTTTAATAAATCTTCTCTCTTAGATATTCCAGCATGATAATGATGTTCCTTTTTTGTTTCTTTTAAGCTAATCTTCACCCTCAGTTGTAAATTCTTGTTAAATGACCATTTTTATTAAAGCCTCCGCAATTGATGGAGCTCCCTAGCCATTGCTTTCAGGTTCAAAACAAGAATGTAAAGAGGATTCATAGTGAAAATGTCCAGAATTTAAGTGTTCAAAAGACCGATACCATCTTCTGCCCACATGAAACAAATGTTGTCTAAAGTGCTCCATTTGTGTTACTACAATTTTATTAATGTGGTATTAATACCTTTACGAGCTACATTGTTTCACTTAACGCTAACAAGCCAGGCCTTGCATAATCTCTGGTGTATTCCTTGTTCAGCATTGATACACGACATTTCATATGGTTGCTTATGTTCCACATTTTAGGACAGATAGCATGCAACTGCTGGTAGGAACTTGAGTGCTGGAGATGGTGGCTCTGAAGTTTGGTTACTAAATATACAGTAGTGATAATATAGATCGCTGTGGTTCTTGGACTGTTGTACATAGTTCATTGTTTGTCAGGTGGACCGGACATTTAGTGAAAGAGGTCTTGCTTGATGGTTTTTAGCTAATAAATTACTAACCACTTTCAGAGCCAGCAGGGGAATCCCTAATTCTCTTAAATATCCAAGGCTTTGATGTAAAAGCCAAATTTTTCATAATTTGTCTATTATTGGTATAGCTGTGCTATCCCAATACCGACTGAGTTGAAGTTCTGATACTGTATTTAGATATCACAAGGCATAATAAAAATATTAAAATGCAATTAATAGGGGACGAAAATGTTATCCTAATTTAAACCAATTTATTAGCGCTAGCATTAATGTTCTCAGTAGATAAATTATTGGCATTAAAAGGTAAAAGTGACTACTTTATCATCTTTGATAACTAGAGTGCAGACTGTACAAATAAAGTTGTCATGAACTTCACATAGATTAAAATGCATCTGCATGATCCTTAAAGAACGATCACTGACAGACGGCTGACATCTGAGAATCCAGTGTCTACCAGATTTGTTATTCATTCCTTTCATTTTGTCAATCTAATAATGAAAGGTTTCTTGTCTTTGTGAGACTCCTTTACCTAAAGTGGCTAAAAAAAAATTTCAGAAGCAGCGTGCACCTCATATGAGTTATCTTCTGAAGTGAATTCTGTGTGCTTAAGTGTAAGGTTTATGAGTGACTTAAAATGTGAACACGTAATATTCCCAAAGTATATGCTCTGGGTATACAGTATTATAGAATCATAGGGTGGTTTGTGTTGGAAAGGACCATCTAGTTTCAAACCCCCGGCTTGAAACTCCTTCCACTAGACCAGGTTGCTCAGAGCCCCATCCAACCTGGCCTCAAACATTCCCAGGGATGAGGCATCCACAGCTTCTCTGGGCAACCTATACAAGTGTCTCAGAACTCTCACAGTAAGGCATTTCTTCCTAGTATCTAATCTAAACCCACCCTCTTTGAGTCTGAAGCCATTCCCTCCTGTCCTATCTCTATATGTCCTTGTAAAAGGTCCCTCTCCATCTTTCTAGTAGACCCTGTAAGGCTGCTGTAAAATATCCCACCTGTTTTCCTCAGCGAGGGTTCAGGACTTCCTTTTTCTGAAGGGCGGTGCTAAATAAAGTCTCATCTTCACAGTGATAATCAGAGAAATTAATGTGCTTATATTTTGAGCTGGATTATTAAACTGCATTGAACTGTGTGTGGGCTCTCATTTGGAATCAAAATAGCCTTTGTTCAGTGTAGCCTATTTAACTTTTAAACTAAATCAAAGCAAATGGAATTAATGCTACTTCCATAAAGTATGTCTACACATAGGTTCAGTGTAATTTTACCAATCTACACTGAATTCACAGCTTAAATTCAGAATTTTTTTGCCTTAAAGGCATGAGAGTGTAAGCAGGAGTAGGCTGGGCAGATTTTACTAGCTAGTGGTGATCACCAAACCCACCTACCTTAGATGTTCAAAGAAATTTTAGCTTCCTTGAGGAAACATGGAAAAATTACTCTCTTTTCTTTTCTATTATTATTTTTTCCCCTTTTTTTCTGAGATCTCTCTAACAATCAAAGCACATTTTTGGAAAAAAAATGTCTACATCACACATAGCATGCCCTGGAATAATTCACTCAGCAGGTACATTTACTATAGTAGTAGTTTATTAAAATCCAAGCAAGGTAGGATTGGTAAGGAAAGAGAACATTCTGTATCAGATCAACTGGTGCATATGGGGAAAATAAGGGCAATCAAGTGAGAAAAGTAATCGTAAATTTCCAGTACTGACACTGGCTAGAAAGGTTTCTGTGCCACTTAGGAGCACTGTGTGGTTTGTGTACCTCAGTCACTTGGGCGCTTTTGCAAAAAACTCAAAATGGCTGTGGTACTGTTTGAGCAAAGCCAAATTACTACTGTTCTGTATTCTGCCCATCACTAATTAATTGTAATATTCTACATCCATTTAAGAGGAAAAGATGTGCCTGAAAATTTCTTTGTATCCTTGAGTGTAATTGACTGTGAGTGTTTCATAATTTACAGTAATACAAGATACTGTGGGTGTCTCTCAGGATATTTTCTCATCAGCCAGTCAAGGTTTTAACTCTGAGTTGCATGCAATGATATCAATAATCTAACTAGGTGACTGCAGTATACTGAGTAATCTTGCATGATGAAGAGCTACTGCAGTCCTTTGAGATGGGTGGCGAGAGTGTTTCATACAGGGTAATAGAGTGTCTGGAAAGGAGTAGTAATGATATAGCTGAAAAGTAGCGGGTTTGAAGAATACCTTTGCTAAAACACAGGCTTAGTCAGAGCTCTGCAGATGCAGTCATCAGTTCTATTTCATCATTAAAATTCTGTGATACGGTAAAGGATTCACAGTGGCTCTTTAGCCTTTTCTGGTACAGCAAAACAGAAAAGAACCTACTTGCAAGCTACTTGTATGACTGGTATAGCATTCCAAACCCAGATTATCCAATTAAAAAAAGTATGCCTTCCATCCATCATTTTGTCCATTAACGCAGGCAAAGACTCTGGAGGAAATCTGTGCCTACTCTCATAATTACCTGGTCACAGGTATTACTGCCCTCATGTTAACCCTTCCTGCAGATAGGTGGGTAGATGTTGTAAACATATAGCATGTGTTTGTTTTCATATGGGAAAAGGAAGAGTGGTAAAAGTCTCATTTTATCCTAATGTATGAGAATCTGTTTTTCTGAGACTACAAAACTGGCTGATCTCTGTGACCTGGTTGGTCACAATGATTTTGATCTAAAGGCTGTGTCCCTTTTGGTTTTAGTAAGACAAACATATGAGCAGAGCCTGTTCATATAAATAAAGGCTGCAGGATCAGAACTTCAGAGGCAAGCTCTTTGTCAAAGGGGGACACCTCATCACACTTATATTAAAGGAATTTTTCCAGGCTTTCATGCGGTGCCCTTAATGTGACTTCAAATGCCATATGAGTAATTAATTGGAAAACACATCACTGCTGTGTTTTGTTGATTTTGGATTATTAACAATGTTCTCATTCCACATTATTTATTTCAGATCACCAGACAAGCTCTGATATTAATTTGTCAAATGTCAGGGCAGCATCAGAAACAACAGACTTCAGTTCTAAAAATGAGGTACTTTCTAAAAGTTTGGAAACTAAGGAGCAGTTGATATTGGTGCTTCCAAGAAGAGTATCATGTGAGGTAAGATTTTTAGATGCTGAAATTTTTGGGATAACGGTCAACATTCGTCTCCTCTTCCTTCTGCAATCGCATTCACACTATATCTGCTATTTGTTTTCAAAATTGTAAAGGGGCCAAAATGAGAGTGCATTGAGACTACAGTGGGATTTATTTTGCCTTTGTGTCACATCCGCACTGCAGTCAAAAGATTTGCAAATAAAATAGTTTGGAGATAGCCTCTGAGGTATTTTAGCTCTATTAGATTTATTTGGCAGCTTGAGTAGAAGTATTACTGTCATGAGGGCCTTATAGTTTAGAGGGAGTACGTAGTCAGGCACTTCTTGAGAGATATGCAGTATCTCTTGGTAAGAATCCATGATGGGTGTATGGGTATGTGCATATGTGCCCATACCATGAATTACACGAGTGCTTGTGTGAGCATGTACCTAGTGTGACTTTAAATTAAATCAGAAATATTTATATATATGTATCTGCATGCATAAATGTTCATATGTGTTTTTAATCAGTTGCTGTGAGAAATATGTGACAGTGTAAACAGAGGAAGTACAAAATCCAGCACTGCATTCCTTTATATAAATGAGTGGCCGTGGTCAGATATGGAGGTTGCAGTGTACATGGAATGTCACTCATTTTGCTTGCTATCTGTTTTTTAACAATGACTTACATTATTTCATTGTTGAGATCAGTACAGTTCTAAGGGAGTAACTTTCCCCCTGGTTCAGGAGGTAGTAGAGGGGTGTTGTCTCACGTCATCTGCTGCCTCTATCTTACTTTACTGTCTGCTCACTGTAAGAGTTTAAGTAACTCTAAGGTTCTTATTAGGATGGATATCATTTTTCTAGACTATAGAGTGGCCTTAGAAAATGTAACAATTCACCTACATATGCATTTAAAATACTGTTTCAAAATATTGTTAGATAAGCTGAATTTAAAATCCTACATTAATTGTGTCATTTATGTCAGTAAAATACTAAAGGTATTTTTTAGTTAATTATTATCTATTACTTAGAGATAACATCATGTTTTGGTAGTATGATTTTTTTGCATGAAGGTGTTGGTAAAGGAAAGTTCTTTCAATACACTTTCAATATAATTTTAAGTTTTCAGTATAATTTTCTGAAGGACTAATGGGAACACATTTTAATTTTATAGAACCCTGGTGAAATATTCATTCTGTTGAAAGATGAAATAGATGATGAAACTCTAGAAATTGAATTCATATCAGATAATCAACGAATGAGAACACAGACAGCCTCTTGGAATAAGAAGGTCAAGTATGTAAAAGCCCTAGGTAAGAAAAAGGAGGAAATACATACATATAAGCTACAATTTTCCACGGTGGCTTCTTGGAGCTAGGTTTAGGTAATTCTATGACCTGATGACTTCTGTGACTCAATACTGGTGAGGCCACACCTCGAGTCCTGTGTCCAGTTCTGGACCCCTCACTGCAAGAAAGACATTGAGATGCTGGAGTGAGTCCAGAGAAGGGCAACAGAACTGGTGAAGGGTCTAGACAGTAAATCACATGAGAAGCTGAAAGATCTGGGGTTGTTAAGCCTGGAGAAAAGGAGGCTCAGGGGAGACCTTATTGCTCTCTACAAATACCTGAAATGAGGTTGGTATCCAGGTGGGGGTTGGCCTCTTCTCCCAGGTAGCCAGTGACAGGACAAGAAGACCTAGCCTCAAGCTGTGCCAGGGGAGGTTTAGGTTGGACATTAGGAGGAATTTCTTCACAGAAAGTGTGATTAGACATTGGAATGGACTGACCAGAGGGGTGGTGGAGTCACCATCCCTGAAAATGTTCAGGGAATGACTGGACGTGGCAAGTCTAGTTGACAAGGTGGTGTTCAGTCAAAGATTGGGCTCAATTATCTTAAAGATCTTTTCCAACCTAAATGATTCTGTGATTTTCATCCTGAGCACTGTCCTGGGATGATGGTCACACATGGCCTGAAAGGTCTTTATCACAGTGATAAAGATGCTTCCAAAATTGCTTTGTGAGAACACTGTTGATCACAAGAAGGTTTCTCTAGTGGATGAATAATAAAATATGAACAGTAAATGAAATATGAAAAAATTTGCAGAGAGCTGTAGCCCAAGTTTAATTTTTATATCATTTGTCCTTAATGATAAATTCATTATTAAATTAATGTCCTTTAAAAGTCTGGAAGAGTTGGAAATTTGGAATTATCCTTTTTTGGTCCAGCTGATCTGATGTTCATAAAAATGTTCTTTTGTTGTGTTTGGTTTGGGGTTTTTTTAAAAACATTTGGTCAGTTTCCATTTAAGTGATTTAACATGCTGTTCTATTAGATTAGTTACTCTGGCCCTATTACTCTTCTCCGTTTTCAGGGTTGTCCCTTTTATTGCTGTTTTGTGGGCAGAGTTAGTATTTTAAGAAAACTGTGTTAGTATGGTCCAGCAGAATGTCTGGCACAATGAATACTAATGAATTGGGAAATGTGCTCATAAAGTAGGCTTTTGCTGCCTGCACAAAGCAAGTCATACTTAAGTAACAGACTATGAATGCCTCTTTCCTTTTGCTTTTACGAGGTAAACAACTGGAATGGAATTAATTAATTATACTGCAATTTCTTTAGCCTAGCTCAAATGCAATCTTGAGAACCTTGACTGCAATTAAGAAAAATTTTTCAAAAAATGAATAGCAATTACACTATTTGTGATAAATGAACTTTTCCTTAATATGTAGGCATAAGGGAGCTGATTATAGGTCATCAGACTATAAAGGGAAATTTTAAGCATTCTGTTTTCATCTCCTTTCTAATGTGAAGCAGTAGAACAGCTTTGCTTTATACATATTTACAAATATGTATTTTCTTTTGTTAGACTGAAAGACCTGAATAAAAAATGGACTACACTGAATCACCTGTTAAATGCAAATCCAGTTCATCAACTCTGTGCTTTTTCTGTGATATCTTCCTGTTATTTTACTCATTCCCTGAGATGTCTGGTCTGGGACTGTAAAATATCTTCAGCTACTGTTCTGATTTTTGTTTTGTAAGATTTCCTGCTGACCCTGTATATGTAAATGTCTATTGTGGGGGAGTCATTAAGACCACAGCACACATTGAGTACTACACTGCACTAGAGGAGATTGAGCCCATTTTAAAGAAAGCGGTTGACCCAATAGCTTTCACTTGTCAGGTAAGTTGACTTCTCAGTTTTTAATTAAAGAAAAATAGAATGTAAGCTTATATGAACTAAGAGATAATATGCAATCTTTCGATTACACAGTAATTAGTAATGGCTCAACAATAGGCTCAGGATTAAGAGGCCTGTCTCTGAGATGTCTATTTGTAAGCAAGTCAGGCAAGAGAAAACAAATTTTCTCTTTTCTTGTTTTTGCTTAGAGAGTGATATAAACATCCTTTGTACTATGTATATACCCAGTGTACAACATGCTGCATTACAAAGGATGAAAATAAGAACAAATATTAGTGAAGTCCCTCTCCACTTCAAGTATTATTTTTCACATGTTCTAAAACCAGTAGAAGCAAGTAATCTTAAACTATATTGTATTTGGAGGGTTATTATTCATTCACCAGCAAATGGTGTTTTTCTGGCGTAGCTTGTATGGGAGGTAGTAGATTGCTGTTCATATAGAGTCCATTTACAGCTGCTCTGTTATCATTCACGTGATTTGCTTGCCGGTTGCCATGCAGATTCTTTGCATGTATTTAGAAAAAAATCAGGTTTTGAGCTGGGTTTCAAATCAGCACAGCAGACTGCGGTGCTCTGCAGCCTGTTCCTTGCCAGTGGCACATAAGAAATAACAAGAAAAGAAAGCATATATTGAGAAAGGATGGAATCTCAAGTATCATTTGTTGAATGGTGGGTAGCCCAGGCAGAGTTGTCATAATGTCTATATTGTAATTGCAAAACCAGAACAAAAATAATAGTCTACGTTTCCAGTGCAGACAGTCTCATTTTCCTGTGACAAATCTACCTTGTGCACCACCTAAGGCATTACACTCATAACAAAGGGATTAATAAAAATGATGTATTGCATTATTAGTGTTCTATTAAGGATGGGGTTAGGTTCCTTCCAAGTACAAGTTACTTCTGTTCTAAGAAAACAGGCTGTTGCACAAGAAAAATAGTGCAACTCAAAGTACAAATGGGTTCTTAAATTCTTTATAGTATCTGTCATTCTTTAGCTTGTATTTTGAAGGATATCAAAGTAAGCTTCTAACACATTTCATTTAAACTTTTATGCATAAGAAGTGTGTCATAATGATATAAAAAATTGTCATTAACATGGTAACCTAGATACCTAAAGCACACATACTGTTTCCACTGGAAAGCTATTTGTGTTATTCAGGAGTTTGACCCTTCATTTAACCAGCATGACTAATATTTAGTAAAACACATGCAATTCAAATCATATTCAAATGCAAAAATAATTCTGTGTGGAGCAGTAGTGCACACTAGGTAATACAGCTGCAGTATTATGACCATTGGTTATGTTTAAAAATTTCCTCACCTTTACTCATCCGGATAATAAGCATGAGTTTAAATGAGGTGACACTGTTTATCTGCTGTCATTTTTATTGTTTTGGTAACTGAAAATTAATGCCAAGAAAATTTTTGTAATTGGGTAAGTTCTACAGTCCACACAATATCATGGCTACTCTGTGGCAAGGTATACTAATGGTAACTCTTTTGTAAGTATACTATGTGTTGGAAAATTTGTCATATTTAATGGTACCTGCTGAGCCACAGAGTGAGGTACACTAACTAGCTAGGCAGCTAAAATATTTCTACAAACTTTTTAAATAAGCTTTCATGTTAACCTGATTTAATGTCAGTAAGACGCATCATAAAAATGCAATTTACAGAACATAATTTAACTTAATCTTTAAAATATGTTCACAAAAGGAAAAACAAAACAGACTTGATACTAATTAGAATTCCCATCAAGTAGCAGGAGTAATAGTAACTTTTATTTAACCAGGATAATTAAAACCTTTGAGACTATCAGCTTATTTGCAAAAATATCCTGGGGCAACAGGCGTTTATCTATGCAAAGTAACAATCAAACACAATGGAAAACAAAACTGATATAAAATAGAAAGGCAATTATTGATCAAAGCAATATCACTCTGTGGTTCAAAGAAAAGTTTAAGATCTTCAGAAGTGCTTGCAAACTGAGAAGTATCTCCTTTTTAAAATTCTGTGATGAAAGCAAATTGCTACAGTAGTGCATACCAAAGGCACAGCCTTTGGTAAAATGTTTTCATTGTATTCTGCATTGTCTTGCCAACCTTTTCAGCTCCTTTGTGATGTTCCACTTTGTCCCCCAATAAAGCCAAACAGATAGACAAAACCCAACAAATAGACTTACAGCTATCCATTCATTTTACCAATGGTCAGGTCAGTTCATATATCTTGGTGGGAGACTAACAAATAGTGTGGTACTGCTGCATTTATGAATCTGGTTTTACAGAACAATTAAAGATTTACATTAGCTAAAGTTTAGATTAAACATAATCTAAGATTTTACACATTATGGCTTTGGATAAAATTCTTTGCTACATCTGACAGATTGTAATTTTCTGTGTTCCAAATTTGTCTGAATTTAAAACACATTTACCAATATCAGCAAGCCATTTTAAGTAACCAAATATATATTTAAAATGTAATGAAATAAATAAAGCAAATTGAATAAGTTTCTTTGCATAAGTTTCAAAAGAAAAAACCTGAAATTTTATAGTAAAGTAGGAAGAGTTGGGATCATAACTGAATCATAATGCTGAATGACCTTGCTATAAGAATGTAGGAGGGTGCATGTTGGCTAAAGGCCGTGATTTTTGGTTCTCTCCTTTTTATATAATTCTACATTAAAGAAACTCTCTTAGGGAGTTTATGTTCTCACAGTAACACAATGTACAGACTGATTTTAAGGTTCTTAAAACTCATAATTAAACTTCTTCATATTTCATTTTTTACTTCTCATCAGCTTCTTATTTCAGCTAGATTTACATGCTGCATTGTTTTTTCTATCTGATTTTCAACCAAATGGAGTTATTGGTTCAATTATTTAGTGTTGGAGTTTACTGGTACAGATTTATTAGGTTTAAAAAAAATTGAAACAAGGTAATATCCTTATTACTGAAATTGTTACATTCATGTTAGTTTGAGTGACTTAGAATATCTGGAGAGATTAGGGAAGTCTTTGTAACAAACTTTGATTGAATAATACTGCTATGATTCTGAGATACTTGGTATCATAGATGATGTTTTTATCACAGTCATCAAACAGGATTCCAGTTACGGTGCATATTGGAAAACAAGAATGAAAATAAACTGCAGCCTTTAAACTTGTAAAAAGCTATATGACTTCTGTGGCGATATTATGTATGCGCCTTTACCTGATCCCCAGAGATACTTCCTTTGAAACTGTATTTAATATTTCAATCTTCTCAGCCACGTCAGCAGCTGTTATTTTAAAATGTTTCTTTCTTTTTTTTCCTCTAGGTATGAAAGCTCTCCATATTCTATCACTGCCTAAAATTGTCAGAAATGCCTGAGTGATTTTTAAACCTAGCCGAATCTCTTTGGCAGAAGTAATCTAGATATGGAAGTGCATATAAAGTAGTGTCTGATATGTAAGAACTACTGGAGAAGTTCATCTTTATGTAAATGTAACCTTGTTAGTACTGCTAAAGCCAGTGTGGAATACATTAATTTAGTGGCTGTGTATGCTGCATTTCAGTGGCACAGATTTTCAGGGCTTGGTGAGCAGTTACTAAAGAAAGTAGATAGTCTTATTCGCAAAAGTAGCAAAACGTGTTCTTGGTCTCATTTTTCAAGGATGTTTTTGGAAGCCCAGGTGTGATGGTCAGCACTTGGGGCTTCTCGGTTCACAGCTGTGTCCTGTTGCTCTGAAAAGGAGTGAGGGAAGGGAGATGGTGCCTACACCTGGGGAGGTACTACTGAGTTAAGTTGTTGGTGACGAGCTCTGGAGCAAGTAGTGGTGTTTGCAGAAGGACCAAGCTTCCAGACCTCCAAGAGTGAAGCAGAGAACAGCTGGCTGTGCTGCAGAGACCATGGGAAGCATTGCTTACAAACTCACTAGCTTAATTCTGAGTGGCTGCAGGGACGCTGGGGGAAGTAGTGCTTTTACTTCTTTTCTGTCACGTTGTAGGTCTTTATTCAGATAAAATATGGGCTTCCTCAAACTCCTGACTGGGTCAGTGTTCCCTTGCAGTGCTTAATTTTAAATACCATTCTGCTTCTGTTGGCTTTGGTGAACTTTCAACATGAATTTAGGTTTGTAGTATTGGTGAGATTTCTGGGGAAGATTTGATAGCCCTATAGAGAGCCATGTAGGGTACATTAAAATATGTAAGTGCAGCATAGTTTGAGTCTGTGAGATATCTGGAGCAGGAATGGGCAGTAAAGTAAAAGGCTCTAAACTGAATTCCTTCCTGGGGAGGTGACCTTTATGTTGGTATGGAGCTGGGTAGTGCACAATGGCCCTATTGCTAGTTCTGTTTCACTGTTGTTTCTACTATTAGCTTCACACAAGTACTGAAACAGGCCCTCCTGTATGTGATATAAAAGACATTAACATAGATTTATTCGTTTGTTTTGGAGGGTTTTTTTGGTTTTTTGTTTGGTTGTTTCTTTTTAATAATTAATCTAGATTTTCATTTTGTGTCTTTGTTGTAGAGTAGCAGAAAAGAGCTACTTGTTATGGTTTAGTTAGCAATGTAGCTTGTTAAATCAGTGCTTGAGTCTTCAGATTTTAGATCCCTGGAGTAAGAGAAAAAAAAAATTGAGGCGGAAAACTTGAAGAAAATTGCACTGGTAACTCCATAAGAAGTGTATGGTGCTTAACTTGGAAATCATAGAAATGGATAGGCTGGAAGGCCTGTTAAAGTACGAGAAATTTAGCTCTAATTTAATCTATTTAGTTTGGGAGATCACACAGCCTAATATCTGTCTCAACAGCTTGTAAAAGCCAAGTTAGCCTGATGTGGTAAACTATGCAACTGTGTGCAGCCTTAAAAATTTTACTGCAAGTTCCTGAAGTTGTGTGCACCTCTCAGTTCAAGAACTTGTTCCATCTCAGGTTGTGAAACATTGTTTTATTCCATGTAAATTTGGTTGTCTGAGAGTGAAGTAAGAGATATGCATTCTTAAGGTACTCCTCCCCTAGATTTCTGACTGAATAAAAGGAATAAGGAAGGGTTCTTGCCTCAGCTCATATTAAAAAGCAGAAGAGCCGTCTAGGCAAGATTACTCAGTGCTTGCTGAAAAGAGACTATGGGATGTTTATTTGGCTTTGATATACAAGACAAGTCTGAAATGGACTCTCTCTGAAAATGCTCCTCTGTATGCAGATGTTCTTTGAGTGGTTTTTTCATTGTTTTGTTTGTTCTTTTTTTTTTTTTTTTAACAGAGAAGGTTAGATAGGTAGCAAAATGTGTAAGGGATGCCATTTTAAATGGAGATTTAAAAATATTGCTTTGGGTTTAGTTTGTCTAGAAGACCACCTAAATTCTTATTCTCTATATATTGGAATTTCTGCTATATAGTTGCTTCAGTGAATACCAGTTGTTTTGAGCCTCTTTCTTCATGGCACAATATCTTCATATACACTCATCTGAGGTAGTTCCTGTGTTGTTACTTGGTTTTGTCCTGCTCTAGACTGAACTTTATGAAGGTAGTACCAATGAAGATACCATATCTAAGAAGACCTACTTTGAACAAGAGAGAATAGTATGGTTTCTTAACTTCCTCATTTCTCTTAATAATTTGTAAATATAATGTTGTTATTCATGTTAATAGTTTGGGGGGGTTATAGGTATTTGGGAGGTTTTGCACATGCTTTCTCAATTCACACTGTAAGTCTGGTACTCAGGTTGAATTTTTATTCTAGAACGAGTTTTAAAGATCTTTTTTTCCTAGGCAGAGACTTTTTTTAATGCTTGTTGCTTTGGTTATTGAAGATTAATTTATGTATTCATCATTATTGAATAAAAAATACAGAGAATGTAATGTGACAATACATTCTGTACATACGGTACAGAAAGGGTGTGAATTATGAAAAGAAATATGATGGGGTTTATGTATCATAATATTGGAAGGGCCACGGTTAATTATGGGAAAAATAAACAATCATATTGTTAGCCTCCTACCTGCACAGACTTCTAATTCTGAGTAGGAATCAGATGAAAATTATATCCTGCCTGTTCATTCAACATTTTCTGGTCACATCATACTTACTTTCTCATTCCCTTTTAACAGCCTTGGGAATTAAACTTCATGTTTCATCAGTAGACCCCTCTGTCCTTTTTCTCTTCAGCATGTCAGTCACAGAGTTTCTTTTTAAGTTCATATGCTAAGCATGTCTGCAGATGTTCCCTTTTAGTGATCCCCAAATTGTCTTGACCAGAAACAGTTCAACTGTGGGAAGGCAAACTTTAATGCAGGGCTGCTCACATCTGAGCAGAGTAAACCAGCTTCCCTCATGTGCCTGTCTGCTGTGGCTGAGCAACTGCCTGGTGCAGCACAGACTGGACTAGCACTGTAGTACTATGTGTGAAATGTCCTTACTGTTCAGATCGCTGTAGTTGTGCTTTTCTTGTCATGCCAAGCAAAGAAATACTTAATTATGGCTACCTTGAAAGTCATTAGGAATAGATCTTGGCCTTCTGTCCAGGAGGAGATAATCCAAAAAAGATCTCATGGCAGTAAGTGAGAATTTCCCTTGTCTAAGGACTATGTGTTTATTAGTAAACTAATCTATCTGGTTGATATCAGTTCCTTATTCTGTCAGCAATGTTAAGCCTTGGCTGATGGAACTGAAGCTGTTTCCTACCTAGACAAGTCCACAATCTTAATGTAAAGGTTTTGGGTAACAGAGTTACTATAAACTCATCCTGAATTACTACTGTAGTAAAACATAAATCCTTGTACCTCACCCAGAAGTTTTTAAGTGATGGCTGAACTTCTTGTGTTATTATAAATGTTTTTCTGCAGTTGGATCATGTTGTCATGATTCTTCTATATTAGAATATCCCTTGTATAGTTTTCAAAAATTATGCTGCTCTTACTAAGAGTTAGTACTGTTTTGAGTAATTTAATTCGCCAGCACTCGGAGGATAAAGTTGAAAATACATATCCAACAAATGCACTAATTTTTTTTTCTTTTAATTAGACATTGAAGTTTTCTTCTGTAGAGAAGGTGGACAATGTTCTGACTTTGTTATTGAAAAGCAAAGTATCTACTTATGAATTCAACCCATTCCAAAGTGGAGAAGAGCATCACCAACAAGCTGGTGAGTCACTTTTTCTAGGCATTGATTTTTGTTACTGATGCTATGGTTATTACATAAAAATATTAATAAGACAATATTTAAGTATGTAAAGTCACTAGTGAAATGGAGGAATCCACAATAAACACAATGTGTATATTGGGAAAAAGAATTCTGTAAATCATTACTTTGTGACTCAGTACTATGTATTTATGCTTGTCTGGATTTTTGATCAGCATTGGATCAAGTGCAAGTTGACAGCTTTACAGTTGAGCGCATTTATACTAGTGGAGAAAACAAAGTAATGTGGAGATGCCTGTACATTATATGTTTCTTACTAATTGGTCTTCTGGAATGCAATCTAAACTTCTTATTTCCAAGATGGGAGACAATCTGAAAGATTTCTCTGTCTGAAGAGAACAGAGGGCTTTTGAACTTAGCACTGAACTTCTCCATTCAGTTTTAGTACCTATACACTTAATGATTTCCATTATTTGTGGCAAAATATAATTTTATTTTTCTTAATTTTTTAAAAAAGGCATCCTAGTGAGTTAAATAGGGTTTCTTTATACAGTAAATACACTATATGCACAATTCAGCCATGTATCAACAGAAACTACTGTTGAGGGCCCTGGTTGAATTCACTGACCACTTATTAAGGATCCAAACTGGTTTGCAATAAACCAAGAGTGTGATTATTTAGCTTGTGTTTTGAAAACATCATTATGAGGTTATTTCAAATGTATGTTAGACCTCAGCTTTTCTAAGAAGCTTCTGGGGAAAAACAACACTCAAGAAAATGTGTTTCCCTTCTACAATACTTGAGAAGGATGTGTTTGAGCTGTTGCTTGGCTCCTATTTTGTGTAGCTGGATTGTGATTTTAAAAGAAAATAAGCTCTCTACAGTCAAGTACAACATAACACTTCTCATAACCAAATACAACAAGTTTTGGAGGTAGCTTTACTGTGATTGCTATCATGCTTTCTTTCCTTTTCAGCAGTTTCTTTGTTGATGCAATTCACCCCTCTGTACTAGAAATAATTGATTCTACTTGTAATCAAAAAATGAGCTTAAATGTCAAAGTTAGTGGAAGCAAATAATTGAGGCACCCGTCCTTGACATTTTCCTTTATAAGATTGCAGGATGGGGGTGTACAGGACACATTCAAGAGTCATTCCCAATGTGAAATGTTAGTTCTGATGAACAAAAGATTTTCTGCTTCTCTAGCAACCAGTTAGATCTGGGCATGCTTTTGAACATTGAGAATAATACTTACCAACCTGCTATCCTCCCCCAAAAGGCCAATACAGTTCAAGAGCAAGTTGACTGCTTATGAGCTTGAGCCAAGTAGTGACCTTCTTAAAATGAACTGGTTTAATATATGCACAAAAAGAAGGTAGTAAGTTAGATGCCTAGATTCTTCATTAAAGAAAGATGTGGTTGCAGAGCTGGCAGCACTCAGAATGTGGGAGGTCTGTGCTCTGATCCCTCTTCTGCCTGAAAGGTATATAAATCTGCATCTTTGACTCCCTATAACAGCATCCCAAACAGGCACTTAACATGTCCAGTAGAGAACTAAAGAAGGTCAGTCTTGCAGTGTGAGGCATAGATAAGAGAAACCTTTTTCTATATGGTTCTACACTGGTGCTTTATTTTAACATTATAGTTAGCACATCAGGGTACCGTTGGTAAATTGCTGTGCTTGAAAGTTCAGTGAGCTCAAAGTGAACCAATAATGAAGAACTTATGTTAATTTTATTGGGTAACTAATTAATTGTGTGGCTTGACTTCTCACAAAGTGAGATTAAAAACTTGGCAGTGTAAAACTAACTGTAAAATGCTGGTGATATAATGAAAGAATAATGCAATGTGATGCTTGCCTGTATTGACATCATAAGATGCATGTTTCCTTACATAATTTTTCAAGAGCCGCTCCCACCCCCAGACTGGCTGTTCAACATTTTTTTTAGCATGATGATGCAGTACTTGTGAGCAGTCAGTGTCTAGGATGACCAAGTCAAGACAGATGGCAAAGATGCAAAAGGTTAACTCTGATACCATTTTACTTCAATCCATCTGTTACTGAAGTCTGAATAATACTCTTGAGTAGCACTTCTTTGTTTGGTTCACTCTTCAGTATATAGTTTGAGATTGCCTTATTTAAGGAAATCTTATAACTGTCTTTATTTTGTATGCAGAATCTCTGCACTTTCATAATTCTAGGCAATAAGAATGAAAGTGTGTTCATGCTATTACACAACTTTCACTGTGGGTTTCCTATCATGTACACATCATGATCATATTTATAGTTTTAGTGGTTTTTTTTTTCCTTGCAAACCCTGAGGTGATTTACTTGTCTTTTGGTTTTCATTTATTCAAATTAGGTAGGAGACTTTTAACACTTGATGACAGGCCTTATGTGTAGTTTTGTGTTTAAAATGAGCTTTTCTGATTGACTGGTCTGTTATACCCAGTCTATTATATCAATATATAACCAGTTCTTATAAGTGTATGTGATGACTTGTCTCTATACTAAAGTGTATATGCAAGACTGCCTATAAATAAGATGTGCTTAGAGTAAAATTATCCATTGCTATTTCCCTGGGTAGGGTCAACTTGATTTTCAGTATTCCCAATTCTTTTAAGTACTAATAAAAAGAGCAAAATGTCCTGATTAACTTACTGTGTTACCATAGTGTCTAACAGAACAACTTTACCTGCTTAGGATAGGTATATTGCTGGATATAATGATTTCTGATAATGGAAGTTTTTCAAAAGATGCAGATATGTATTCAGGAAATTTCACTCTCTTACCATCTAAGCGAAGAGAATTGTTTGAGTGGCACATCAAACTTTGTGAACTTCCTTGCAATATGAAAAATTAGGTCAATACTCCTGCAATCGCTTTAACATGGCTGTACTATTCTTTCTCTATGGGATCTCATTTGTTAGACTACATGCATAAGATGAGTTTCAATTGCTTGCTTTTGATGAAGTGTCAAATTGTACTACTTATTGTAGTAACCAAAGAAGTAAATCAGGAATCTCTACCAGAAAAAACATAGATTATGCATGGATATTCCTTACTAGCAATACAGAAGAGAAAGACTTTTTTTCAGGTGATGGAGGAGAAGAATGTTTTAGTAATGAATGATATTTAAAGAGGTTATTCTGCAGTCTCTAAAGGGAAATGCAGGAAGCCCAATCGGATGAGAAAGCTAAATGCACAATAGAATACATGGGGAAATATTGTGTTTAATGACAGGGTTAACTGAAAGACAGAGCCAAGACATTTCTGGGATTTTTAGTGCTGGTGTCATCCCTTGCAGAAGAATGTGACTAACGCTGGAGGTACTGTCTGGAATATTGTATGTTCTGTACCAAATTGATTTCAGGATACGTTGTATATATATTATTCCTTTCTTTCTACTAATACAATCCAGTAAAAGCATACTAACATATCCAAACTTATATTTCAAAGTATTTCTTGATAAATATTCCTGTTTTTCATGGGAAGCTCTGATTCTGCTCACGAATCCTTAGATTTGGGAATTCCTACTGCATTAATTCCTGTCCAAGAGATGGCAATCTACTTGAGAAAAAACTGTTTCTTTTTCCACTATTAATTAATTTTCATTTCTTTAAAAACTATATATTATTGCTTCTCTGATTAAACTTAAACATCAAGGGTTATGACAGGTTCTGAATTTGCTTTGTAGAAAATGCTGTGTTTTTTCTTCTAACACTGCTAGCAACGTAGAAAATCTTTTCCTGATTTCTGTAATTCTTTCTTTCAAGCTGAAACATTTATCCCAAAAGAAGAAATAACTGACTGGATTTTCAGCTGCTAGCAATATAATGGGGGGGAGGAAAGGGATTGGCACTGTAGAAGTCACCTTAAGTGCCTATTTAAATTGTTAAAAAAATCATGTATTGTTGCAATAATTTTGGAAATAAAAGTATGTCTTACAAGATCTACAGAAAGATCACTGCAGGCTGCTCTGTTTGCTTACTACAATTTTATGAAAATTCCCACAGGCTAAGACAGTGCTACAATACAGTAATATTAGATTTTATGCTCTGCTTTATAGCTGAGGTTTTCCAGAATTCTCTGCAGAGAAGGGATTATGACAGGACAAAACTTAGCATCAGTTCCCTCTTAACCTTGTGCAAGTCAAATAAAACTTAATTAAAAACAAGCACGTGTCTTAATGTTAGTTGAAAGTTGAAGAAGCCATCTTAAAGCACTTAAAAATATACCCCTTGACCACTTTACCATTTTCTTCCTGATTGTGATGACCAGCTAACTAGTTCTTAGTGTAGGTGCCACACAGCCACAGCTTTTCTTTATTAGCATTCTCCAGTGGAAGCAAGGTCAAGTGACATGAGAAGAATTCAGAGATGCTGCTTGCCCCTGTAGGGAGAAAATTCATGTGGCCAAAGCTCAGCTGGAGTTGAAGCTAACCAGAAATGTGGGGGACGAGTTTTTTCAAATACATTAATGGCAATAGGCAGAAATATCATTGGCTGGTTCCAAGATGAGGACGGTCACCACACAAACAGGGATAAGATAAAGACCGAGATAAAGCCAAGGTGTTTAACACTTTCTTTGCCTCTGTCTTCAACACGGATGATAGACCAAGGGGGTCTCAGCGCGCTGAGCTGGAGGACCATGACTGTGAGAACGATCAACTCCTACTTGACCCTGAGCTTGCTGCTCCATCTGTGGGGCCTGATGGGATTCATCCCAGAATCCTGGGATGAAGAGCTGGCTGATGTCATTGGATAACCTCTGTTGATGATTTTTGAACAGTCTTGGGAATCCAGAGAGGTCCTAGCTGACTGGAAGCTGGCGAACATTGTCCCGATTTGCAAGAAGGTCAAGAAGGAGGAGCCCAGAAACTACGGGCCTGTCAGTCTCACTTCAGTGCCTGATAAAGTTATGGAGGAGATTATTCTGGGAGGTATTGAAAAACACCTGAAAGACAATGCAGTCATTGGTCACAGCCAGCACGGCTTTGTGAGAGGAAAGTCCTGCTCATCAAACCTGATTTCCTTCTATAACAAGGTAACCCACCTGATCAAGGGAAGCCAGCTGATGTAATCTTCTTGAATTTCAGTAAAGGTTTTGATACTGTCTCTCACAGGATCCTTCTGAGCAAAATGTTCAGCACACAGCTGGATAAACACATTTTGTGGTGGGTGAGCAACTGGCTCAGGGTTTGAGCACAGAGGGTAACAGTGAATGGGGTAACATCAGGACTGGTGACCTGTCACTAGTGGGGTTCCACAGGGCTCCATCTTAAGGCCCTGTGCTCTTCAACATCTTCATAAATGACTTAGACACAGAACTGAAAGGGATACTGAACAAGTTTCCAGATGACACAAAACTGGGAGGAGCTGTTAACTTCCTCAAAGGTAGGAAGGCCCTGCAGAGAGACCTCGACAAATTAGAGAACTGGGCAATCACCAACCATGTTATGTTCTACAAGGGACAGTGCCAGATTCTGCATCTGGGATGGGGCAACCCTGGATGTTCATACAGACTGGGGCTGGAAAGCAGCTGGTCGATGGCAAGTTGAATATGAGTCAGGAGTGCCCTGGCAGCCAGGAGGGCCAACCGTATCCTGGGGACATCAGGCAAAGCATTGCCAGCCAGTCGAGGGAGGGGATTGTCCTGCTCTGCTCTGCACTGGTGCAGCCTCACCTTGAATATTGTGTGCAGTTTTGGGCACTGCTGTATGGCTTTTAAAGTATTCCTACCTAACAACAGCCTTTTTTTTTCTGCTTGCTACAGGGAGCAATATAAAAAAAAGTTTGGTTTATGAAACTGATTTATTGATTTTTACATCCTCTATGGCTGGCAGAGGTATTTAGTTTCTTAATGATGTAGTCTCTGTAATGTTCAAAGAGTGTAAGTGTAGGAGTCCTGGTTGAATATCAAACCCAGCTAGGAAGGAGTTGAGTGGTGACCAGGAAAAACACCTCAAGTGCAAAGGAGCCCAAGGGATTTTGGAATACCTCTTTTTTGTGTTACTTTAAAAATGCACATATAAGCCCAGAGCAGGCTTATGAATGCCACCTACTCCTCTTTGTGTTGAAGAAATCGTAGTATCCAGTCTATTGGTAATATAGAGTTGTTTCCCCTTTCAGATTTGTAACCAATTGTTTTAGGTTTCATTAGTATGAGTGGAAATTCTTTTGGAACATGTTATTAATACTTTGTCAAGCCTCCTTTTAGTGACTGTATTTAACCTTCTCATGTCTGCTAGCAGGATGAAAACTATTGGTTAGGGTTCATGTAAATTACTCCAGCCTTAGAATTACTTGCATACATTTTTACTGCTCATGTGACAGCCGCTTAGTTTGCTATATATTTGCCTCAGTCTGTGATGGGGGGGGTTAGTGTTTCCCTGCAGCTGGAAAAGTATAGATAAAAATAAGAAGTCAAATGCCTATACTCTGGGGTAAAATTTATAGTTCTTCAGATTTCAGAATTAATCCTAGTTTATAAACAATATGGAGTGAAGAAATTGTGTGGCACCTACTTCCCTCAAAAAACTGAGATTATATACAGTTTTAAGATTGCCTGTTGTAGCTCAAAGGATTTTAAAGCACACTGCAAATACAAAGGAATATAAGCTACAATATATAACATTGTTGATGGAAGCTCAGCCTGCCAAGGCTTCTGAAACAAGTGACTTGATTTACGCAGGTGTTGTGTATTTACAGTTTCTTGGTTAGATTTTTCTTTACCTGGTGGAACTAAGGCAACGCTGAATTTGTTTAAAGATAAAGTTAGGGTTGTTAATGGGGCTTTTGACTAAAATGTAGTCCGCTCAAATTCCTTGTGGCAAAATAATATTGGGTTGATACTGGTGGAATATTCCTTGTCCAAAATACAGTCAAGAGTTGTCCTAACTATTTTTTTCGTCAGTCAGTACTTAACTATGACTATTCCAAGAACTCCTCTTGTTCCTTGAATCCTTATATCTAATGATGGAGTGAGGCTTTACTCTCTGCTGTATTACCGTTCTGCAGGAGCAATAAAGGAGTGAGGAGGGGAGGTACACAGATTCACCACTGCTAAGCCAAAGTTTAGTATGCAGAAGAATGTAAAAATGAGAAAGTTTTTGTTAAAGACTGGCAGCTAAGAGAATTCCAGAAGACAACATTACTACCTAGACTTTCTTCCAGCAAGCTCAGGGGACATTGAGTTATCTCTACGATAACACAGGTTAATGTGTAACATTAACACAGGTTAATGTGTTATCTCTACAAGACTAATTAATAGAAATTTTAATAAAATACATTTGCTGTAATGTGAAGTCTGGCTTTATAGATTTCTTGTAGTTTTTTGTAAGTCAGCAAACCTGATTAAGTCAGTAATTGATTGGGCATGGATGAATAACTGACCAAACCCAGGAGACAGACAACTGGGAAAAATCTTTTTTTTCTGGTGATAGAAGGTATTCAGGGTAGCAAGGAGGAGGGCTAATGGGGGAGGAGAGGGGTAGGAATGAGAGATTTAGTAATTATACAGTAAAATGTGAGATGATACTCATTCTAGGTAAAAACAAAGCACTGCAAGTGGAAAAAACAGTCCCGTGTTGTCATACAAAATGAGAAGGTTTGAGCAGGCTATTAGCACTGAGGAATAAGACTGCACAGCTCCATGATAACATCAACTTGTTGCTAGGCAGCAGATCAAAAAGCTAATGAAATACTAGGAATTATTAGAAAAGGAATAGAGAACAAAACAGGGCATAATTATGGCAATGCATAAATTACATGGCTCACCCGCGAGTTGAGTATCATGTGCAGCTCTTCTCCTGTCATCTTGAAATGGTTACATTAAAGCTGGAAAAGGTTCAGGAGAGAGCAGTGTGGGTGACGGAGTTGGTCCTCTATAAGACCCAATTAACTAGACTGGAGCCCTTCAAGAAAAAATTCTGGGAATGCGTAAATCACTAGAATTGCAGAGAGGGCAGACAGAGGTGGAAAGTAAGATGAATTAGGGGCAGTCAATTGAATGAGCCAGGAGCCAGATTCAAAACAAACTAGAGGAAGCACTCTTTTATGCGATAGGTAATAAAGACCCTCAGTGTGCATGAAACTGGTGGTGTGTGGGGCAGGCTGGATGCATGCTGGGAGAAGAGATATGCTGCATGCTGATATACAGACAAATTGGTATGCAACAAACCACAAGTGATTAGAAAGTAGAGTATAAAGGCAGAGAGAAGTATTGTTTATGTTTGAAACCTCTGTTTTGTTTGTTTGTTGGTATATGTAACTTGTGGTCACTCATAGAGTTAAAATACAGGACTGATGAAATGATAAACTGTCTGTCCCAGTCCTCCGAGGTAAAAAATAGTCTGTGATGGAAATTGATGTCTTGTTATATCAGATCAATCCTAAAAACTTATCCAATATATTAATTTTTAAGTTCTGTGATTGTTCATTATAGGGATAGGCAAATTTTTGGAAGTCTCTGGTATTTGTGCGAATTTTCAGAAATGGTTTTTAATATCAAAACATAGCACCATAAACTTATAAAAATGTCCCGTTCAAATGTCTTAAATTAAAAATATTCCACCTAAGCAAAAGCATGTTTTGGCTACGGGATTTTTTTCCCTTTGCAAGAAATCTTATTCCCCAATAAAACTGAAGGGCTTTCAAATCCCTCTGTCAGCAAAAAATGAGATTTCTCAGTTACACTAAATGCTCTTTTATTGATATATGAATTGTAAAACTTTTAATTGGAAAAACTGTTCTTTGGATGCAGTTCTGTATTGGCAGTTTGATAACTATGATTCCATAGCACTAATATTCCAGAGGACTTTTGTGAAAGATGTTCTATAAAAGCAAAACTGTTCTTCATGAAGACTTTGTTTCCATATACAGATAACCATTTGGAAGAATTTCCTACTCTCCTTCACTGTGCAGCCAGATTTGGATTAAAGAACCTTGCAATGTTTCTACTCAGTTGTCCTGAGGCCACATGGGCTTGCAAAATAACCAATAAATATGGTGATGATCCAGAAAGTATCGCAGAGAAACATGGACACAAGGAACTAAGAAAATTAATCAAAGAATTGTCAGTAAGTCCATATGCTTTCTCATATGTCATCTACAACCAGGGGGCTATGATGTTATACGAGATCCCATCGTATCAGCTCTTGTAAACACTAATGTGTTGCAGTCCTTTTGTTTGAAAATACTGTTCTACTCCTGTCTCAGAAAGAGGGGTCAAAATAGGGTGCAGACACTTTCTTTGTGTACTGTCATAATGGAGATCTGAGTTTTTTCACTGCTTGAATTTTAGGAATGTAATGGAAAGGAGAACAGTGAGTCAGAACTACCTCTTGCGGCCTAGCTAGGTCGGTGCTTTCAGCACCCAGGAAATGGTTATATTTTGAGTAGTCGAGACCAATTTTCCAGAGTAGGAGACTTTAAAGACTTCTTTAAAGATCACTTCAAGTGCCTATGAACTCTCTTAGCACTGCTGCTCTTCAGCATTCAAAAGAGTTGTTGCCTTGCCTTTGCTGTTTGTGCCACTGTGAAGGAAGGCTAAATTTTGTAATTGTTTGTTAGATGGAGTAAATCTTTCTTCAGCTGGGTGTGCAGGAGGGATTTGGGGTAATAGTTGCCTTTCCACATGAAAGATAATAATAAAATAAGGATCTGTGCATAGTTCTACCATGCAAATTATTACCAATAAAACCTAACAGAATTGCAGTACAAAAAGAAATATATGAGAGCCTTAACCTATTTTAACTCTTAATTGTGCTAACTGTAATATGTGCAGATATGATAATTCTACAGTTTTTAATACTGCAGTTGAGATCAATTTTAACTGAAGCATAAAGCTGTCCACAAAACCATGCTGTCTTCCTGGATCAACATATTAGTTATTTCACATTTAATAATTTCTAACTGCCATAGTTATCTCACAGTCATTCTTACGTGAGTCAGAAATCTCCTGCCAGTAGCAGCCTGATGTGTAAGGTCAGACCTTTCAGTTCTTGGAGTTTACCAGTTTGCCTTGAAGAGAATTGAACTGTATTCCCCAACATTCCTATCTGCATAGGTGCCATCTTTGTATGGTCAGATACTTTACACACTCTGTATGTAAAGGATTGGTGAGAACACACAGAATATGAATGTGATGTCTAACTCTTAGTGAAATACCTTGATTTCTTTTCGAAGATGGTCATATGAATCAGAGAGTTGAGCGTGGAAGTGTGATTTCTAATTTTTCGTTTAATGATAATGATTAGTTCCATAGGACATTTAATTTTTTATACTAGTGTTATAAAAACTCACTGACCTGCACTTCTGATGCGTCTTTGTTGTACACTCCACATGGGACTGGAAGCTTCAGAAAGTGCTTTTTTTGGTTTTATCCTTTTTGTCCTAACACACTCATGCTATGGTTCGGGGCTTCTGCAAGGGGAGAGATAAGCATGCATGATGCACACAGACTACAGCTGATACACAATGAGAGAGTACATTGCACTTCTATAGTGCTTTAACATTTTGATAGACTTTATCAGTGATGGAAGGCAGTGTTTGTGAGGGTGATATATTTCACTCTAAAAAGTGTGTAAAGTGTTTGCATACCTCTGGTTAGCTTTTCTTTATTAGTAAGGTTATTAATTTTCCTAATAAAGTCTCAGTATAGATTTGTCAATGTAAAGCATGGATTTAAAATGGCAACTGTATTTTTTGTTAAAGGACTTCCTTCATGGTATGTATCTGCTGTTGTTTGCATACAAACATTTAACAATAATTGTTCTCTGCTCATGGTGGCTGCTTTCCGAAGCGTAAATACTTCTACCAGTATGAAGTAAAAACAACTATATGACCATTGTAGACTTGTGTAGTCTGGTTAGGATGTGCAGTTATACTACCCATTTTCAGTTGATTCAAATGGCATGGCTTACTAATGCAACACAAGTAAAAATCTGAGCATGCTTCAAGTCTGCCAAATGTGTAATATGATCTTATAGAAATGTTAGCTCCAAACACGGGAAGAAAAATGGCTTATTTGTGTTCCCTGTAATAGTGCACTTAAGCACAAAAACACTTACTGTACTTCTGTAATTGATGGGAATATGGAAAAGAAGTATTTTCTTGGCTCTGAACCAAGCAGAATTTAGCTTAACCATGTTCCTGGAACTTCCCATTACAGCTCTAGTATTTAAATTGCTCATTATTACAATAGTACTTTTGTACTTGGCTTAACTCTCACTGTTTTAAAAGTGTTACCTGTCTTTGGCCGTTCCTTTAAGGAATAGCCCCAAAATATACACAGTAATTGAACACTTCTATCCTAAAGAGCAAAAGGATTCCAGAAAAATGAATGCATTAAAACGTACATTTGATTTGTCCAAAATCCTGGAAAGTGTCTTTTATTTGCTGGATAAAGACCAAAAAAATAAATGTCTTTTGTGCTGCAGAATCCTTAGGGGAGTAAGAATTCCTGAGGTAGTTAGAGAGAGAGCATCAAAAGATTTAAGTGGCAATATCTCAGCTACTGTTTCTACCTCCAAGCCCAGGGCTTTGCTGTTCAACCTTTTTTGGTGCCTGGTGAGCAGATCTATGCTCAGGACTTTTAGTTGATGCAGCTTTGCTGGTAAGGCCCTTCAGCTCCCATGTCCAGCAGGCTCAGTGGAAAGGTACTCAGGGGTCTCTTGGCAAAAGTGAGCTACAGGAGCTGACTGACTTACACAGCGGGTCATCTCTGTGACACAAGTTCCCTGTCCTTGTTTAAAGAGAAAACCTTTTTTCTGAAACTGGACACTGACAGTGTTGATGTGGGGAGTGTTACAGCCACAGAAGACATATCTAAATTGCCTAGTGGGTATGCCAGGAGCTAATCTCCTGATCTCTGTCAAAGTAAAGCACAAGGGCACAAGAGAAGGATCACACATCATGTGACATGCTTCTGTTGACACAGCTGTATTAATGAGGAGGGAAAAGATTTTTTCCTCTTTTAGTACTAGTGTTTTATGCAGGGTCATTAAATGCTAAAACATCACACCTTTTAAGAACCTGTATAAACTTGTGCTTCTGTGAGTGGTAGTTTCTGCCTTTTCTGTCAGAAATCCTGCATTTCAAATGCTCCTTGAAAATGTCTTCTCTGGTGAGGGAACACTGCAGTACTTGAATGATTTTTGTTAAAGGTACTATATTGGTGAAACTGTGCCTAAATGGTGCCTAATTCCCTTTAATGGGAATTATGATGAAACACAGTTTCAAATGTGCTAGCAGTTTATTAAGCAAATTGTATTTTTCTTGCATTTTCACACAAAGCCACTTAAATGGACATTCATTTCCAATTTCTACATTTCATTATAGTTTAGATGAAGTAATTCACTCTTCCGTAGCATAAAAGAGGGATATCGCTTAACATTTTGCGATAACATTCTGAATTGTTAGTCTTTTGATTTTATTCCTCTATAGAACCAAGTATTTGAATATTTTCCACAATTGCCTTTAGGTGGAATTGCTTGAATCAAGTGTGTCAATTTAAAACTAGTAAGAGACATTCAGTAGGAGTATTGGCAGGAATCCTTGTCTCAGCGTATCCGAACAGGGGAAATGATGAGCCTTTTGAGGCTCAGTTGATCCAGCTGATGGCTCAAATGCCAGTAAGGAATGCTTTCCATGAGCCACAGGCTCTAAACGTATCTGCAGTCAGCTGTTACAGTACTATGATGGATGTACCTTGTTAAGCTACAGTAGTTTTCTGGGATATCAGAACTCTATTTCAGATGTTTGCCTTTTGCATGGGGTCTGTCTCCGAAAGCTGCTTTGACAACTAGCTTGTTGTTCTTGCTGCCAGCTGTGGTTTTCTAAGTGTACATTAAAGTTCTACCTCCAGATTATGAAGAAATCCCTTAAATTAAGTTCTTATCCAGCACACAAAGGAAGACTTTAAAAATAGATTATAGAATATTTCTAAGCATTAAGTGAGTAATGAGGGGAGTATGTTCAATTTGTGACCTAACAATTTAAAATTGAATGTCACACTGGTAGCCAGCTTAGACGTGTGCTTTGGCATGGATGTAATTGTTTGTTCCAGCACTTGGGTGTCACTGATTTCTCCCTTCTTTTACTCAGAACTGTGTTACTGAATGTGTCATAGTCAGGAAGATTACTGTGTACCACTCTAGTATACATCAGAGGTTCTAAGAGAAACACAATTTAGCAAGTGTTTTATTGGTTGGTTAGTGCAAATAACTTCTGATTGTTGGTTTTGACCTTTAAAGCAGATTCCTAGGGGTGGCATAAATGTTATTTACATATAAAAATTGAAACAGTCATTTCATGTTGCCACCACATAGTTGAGACAGTGCAATTTAATTTTTATTTTTAAAATACCTTCTGACATTCTGGCATTTCGGAAGTAGTTGCCTGAAATCTAAGGCAGAAAATGCAGGTTAACTGAACTTTTTTAACCTGCTCAAGATCTGTAACCAGGCCTTTGACAATCTGTAGCAGAACAGTAGACTGATAGAAAAATCTTCTTCCTCTGCCACTACCAAAACTCTGGATTTCTTGTTTAATATAATTATCTGTCTTCCTGCTTCAGGTATCCCTCAGGCAGCTATTGAAAATATAATAGGTATTTAATTCTGTACACATTGGTGAAGTTCCTTTAGAATTGCATAGATTGAGTTAGTGCCCTGGATGGCTTTTCAGAAGCAGCTTTTCTTTCCAAGAGGGAAATTCTTTTGTCAATTCAGTTTCGTCAATTCATCAAATTACATCAGGTCTTTCTAGCTCTTTTGAGATAACATCCTGCAAAGTCTAGATTCACAGTTACTGAATTCACTGTGGTTAGCAGTTCCCGCAGTAGCAGAGAGAAACACAATCTTACAGGTGGTCATAATTTTCACTCAGAGCCTATTTTATGGAAGACTTACATTTTAGATAGCGGCGGAGAGGGGGAAAGAAATTTTTCTTTCTGAAATGCCAAGCCATGTTTTTATAAATCTTAGCAAATTAAGGCATGGGCAAGTAATTTGTCATTGTATACCTCCCCCTCTCATCTCTTACTTTGTGCATGGTTGAACCAGAATACAGAATTTCT